TTTTCCTTTCTTAGTTGGCTAGCTCTGGGTGCCTCCCGCAGTGGGGCAAGCCAGCTGCTGTGGGGAACCTGAGAGGGCTGGCCTGCCCAAATACAGATATTTCTTCAGCAGCCTTTGGCTCCACCTAAGGTTTTTCTCTGTTAATTGCAATAATATTGTCAATAATGTAGAAGCGGGATGGGAAATAGCCAAGTCTACTTTATTATTGTTTTCCAGCAGTCCTCGTTTCACCTCCAAATTTGTCTTTATTTCACAGTGGCCACAAATTCCTTTTGCTGGGGTCAAAATAAGCAGGTTCACAATTTGAGCACTGGTGAGTAGCTTTTTAGAATATGAGTAGCTTTTTGGAGCAGTCTAAAATGAAACATGTTTTTTCAGAGCAGCTAAAAAAAGGACCTATTTTATAAATGCCAAATTGCTGTTATAAAGAGTTGGCTTCTGGCAAGGGACTTAATATTTTAGGACTTCAAGGAGATATACAAAAATTTTGAAAGTACTTGTTTAAATGTGGTCTCAATGTTAGGAGGAATAAGTCAAGCAAACTGGATGAACTTTACATATGACTTTGTCTTGAATTCTTACTCACGAAGTAGTTCTATAATCAAATACTACAACCAAATACTTAGTTACAAAGATGTTCATCTTAGTGTTATTTATAGTGGTGAAAAATATGGAAATATTTTTAATGTCCAATAGATAAATGAAAATAAAAATTAGGTTTCTGAAGAATTCTTAATGGACTCAGTGCTTAAAGTAAAACATCTATATTGTTTAGACTATGTACATATATGCATAGGAAAAATGCTCTTAAGAAAACATTGTATATCAAAATGTTAACAGTGGATTTCCACACTAAAAGTGATTTCTATTTTGCCCCAGAACTTCTACAGTGAGCATGTATCATTTTCATAATCAGAAAAACTTTAAACATTACTATTATAAAGAATTTATATCGGGCCAGCAGAGTGGCGCGTTGGTTAAGAGCTGGCTTGGGATGCCAGCTCTGAGCAGCAGGGCCCCTGTTCAGATCCCACATATGAGGGCCAGTGACACTGCCCTCTACAGCTAAGATGGTGAACAACAGCTCAACCTGGAACTGGGATGCCATGAGTCGCCAGCAACGGTGTAGGCTGCAGTGAGGCTGCAGTGGGCTGCCATAAGCTACCGTGAGTGGCCGGCAGCCAGCGTGAACTGCCAAGAGTCGCCGTGAGCTACCGTCTCATGGCCGGTGACCAATCTGCCTCACCTGGGAAGAGTGCAATGATAATACCAACATGGGCCAGTGAAGTGACATTCTCCATAACTACAATGAAGAGTAAAGGATAGCAACTTGTCTGTTCCCCTTCCCCAATTCCCCAACGCTGTTCCCCTCTCCCAATTCCCCAATAAAATCTTAAAAAAAAATGAATTTATATCTAACATTCATTTTATGAGAATTGAAACAAAGTGACTTACGTAGGTGTAATGATTTGTTATTGTATTTTCAGTGTAAACATTATTCCTGTCCTTGAAAAGGCTAAATATACTATTTGTAGTAAAAAATGCATTTAAGTTTTTGTTTTCTGTACTTCTGTAACATATAGATTTTTTTCTTACTTTTGGCACTTATATGAGGCCGTTGAAAACCTGTTCTCCATCACTGTTTATCACCTTTTCAAATACCTGTTAGAAAAATTAGTTAAAATCATGGTAATGCTAAGAAAATCTAATCTTCCTTCAGCGAACTCTCTTGGGCTTAAAAAAAAAAAAATCAACACTAGGCTGTGTGATCTGAAAAAACCTTCAGGGCAAAAGATTAAATTAGGACCCCAGCAAGACTGACATAGGATAGCCTTGCTACTGTTACAGTGGAAACAAAAGTGGAAAAAGAATAGAAAAACCTAGACAGCTCATAATTAGACAAAGTGACTGGATGAATTCAGCAACTTGTAAATAAGTTAAAAATACACAGGGACCTGGCCAAATTATCTAGAAAATGCCGTTTACTGTCTAAGGTTTTAAGTCAACATCTCCAAGTTGGCGCCAGAGGCTACTACCTGGCAATCTTATTTCTTTCTTTCTTTTTTCTTTCTTTCTTTTTTAAATTATCGTAATCTTTTTCACACAGGTGAAGCAGCAAGGCTGGGGAGGCTCTGACATGTGTGGTAGTGAATTCCAAGTGCTTTGGTTCTGAATTAAGTCACTTACCTCAGGGGTCCAGACAGTCAGGGACCCCCAAGTAAGCCCTTCTCCCAGGTAGCAGCTGGATGTAGAGGAAAAAGAATTTGAAAATTCAAAAGCACCCTACATTGTAAGGGCTTATTATCTTTCTTCCCCAACTATGGAGCAGTCTAGAGAAATTAACCCTCTCATTTGTTAACCTCAATAACAGGCTTTAACAGATCTGTAGCCATGGATGGCTCCAGTAATTGCCCTAATTAGTTTGGTATGGAGGGAGGCTGGGGCAGGAGGCATTTGGAGCTGAAGTCATTAAGCCTAATTTAAAAAGAAAAAATCAAGAATTTATGCCTTGCAGATTTGACATATGGGTTGCAGATGTTATGGAAGAAATTTTACTGCTAAAGCTTTTAGGCCCCCATTTTGTAGTTAAGGAAAGGATTGGAGGGAAAAAGCCTAAAGGCAGAAAATGGTTCTATTCTTGACTGTTAAAGCTCCAGGGAGGGGTGTGTGTGTGTGTGTGTGTGTGTGTGTTTTCAAACCGAAAACTAGTAAAAACCAGCAATAGGGTCTTAAAATCCCACTGGCACGTGAGCCTTGCTTATTATAGCTTTGCTGGCAGACAAGTCACCTCCTTAGTTGGAAGTGACTATTTTGTTATTTCCTTGCAGTTTCTCTCAGGAATTCTAAATTTAAAATGTTAGTTCAAACTCCCCAGTGTTCTTGGGAAAGTTGCTAGAATTTTGGTCCCTTTTAAAAACAAAGACAGATAATTATACCAGGAATAGAGCTGCACTTGCGCTTCAAAGATAGGCACCAAGTCCTCTGTTTCTTCTTCCTGTTTCAGAAAATGGTAAGCACAGAGAAAAAGGAACAGGAGTTCCAGACCCTGGGTGCCAAAATGTTCCAGACACACAGGAAATGACTTTGCAAATCCAGCCTTTAAACCTGTCATTTCATGGGCTTGTCTGTGAGCCTAGAAAAGGAGGCAAAGATCACAGAGAAGACCTTCTTACCTTATAGGGAGGCCTTCCCACACCCCAGTGCTGTGACTCTAAACCCAAGCCATAATTTGAAATGCTAGAGAAAAGCCAATGAAATTTGAGGCAAAATTTGTGGGTGAAAGCTATCTCGCTTTGCTTAAAACAAAAATGTAGACTTTGAAAAACAAGTGCAATGTTAAAATGTATTTTTGGAGGGAGAGGGATACATTCTCAGCAGTACTGCTTTAAGGCTTTCAATTAAAAAATACTCCAGGGGCTGGCCAAGTGGCTCAGTTGGTTAAGAGTTAGCTTAAGAGCGTGAGCTCTGAGCAACACGGTCACCGGTTAGATTCCCACATGGGCCAGTGAGCTGCGCCCGAGCTGAGCTGCCGCTGTGCTGCCAACAGGTGGCAAGATGGCTCAGCTGGTAAGAGCATGTGCTCCTAACAACAAGGTTGCCAGTTCAGCTCTCGCATGGGACGGTCACCCACCAGCAACTAAGATTAAACACGGCACCTTGAGCCTCTGAGCAGCCATAAGCTGCCGATGGGCGGCCGGATGGCAACAGGACTTGGAGCTGAGCTAGCTGCGCCCTCCACAACTAAGATTGAAGGACAACAACTTGGCTGGTCCCCTTCCCCAACACTGTTCCCCTTCCCTAATTCCCCAATAAAATCTACAAAAAAATAAAATACTCCAAATATGTGATAAGCTACTATGTCACTGAAATGTGCATTCATCTTCTTAAAACATTTACGTGTTGACTTTACTTTTACATTAATCTGAAAGATGTTTCTGGTATATTAAACAAACGTGGCACCTCTGGTTAGTGAACTAGTTTTGGATTCTAATTCTCCAGGTATTTGTATTCTGAGTGTCTTCTAGGGTCAATAAATTCTTTGACTGACAAGGAATTAAGTAGACAGGAATTAGTAACTATCTGCCCATTCAGGCGCTCCTTCCACCCCTCCTGTGTAGTGAGGAAGCCCATTGGGCCTGAAGCCAGAGCGCCTGCCCTTCCCAGCTTTACCGTCTGAGCACATCACTTAACCTCTCTGCACCTCAGTTTGCTCCCCGGAAAAGCACGTACCTCACTGAATTAAATGAGTTGATACATGTAAAGCACGAACAACAAGCCTGGCACACTGGAAGTACTCAGTACATACTGGCTATGCGTTTAGTGCTGAGCACGGGGAAAAGCAAGGCAGAGGTGCAGACACAGATAAGCAGAACAATGTGCATAAAGGGGGGAAAACTTGAACTGCCTCTTGGAGGATAAGAGGGGGTTCGCTAAGCAGATGTAGAAGGGCTATGCCAAGTGAATGGTACAAGTGAAGGCATAGAACTATGAAATTAGTGTATCTGGGGAATTGTAAATGATTCATTAGAGCCGGATTAAGAGGTGAATGAGGAGAACGCTCAGGATTTACTGAGCAAACCTCTGGGATGGGAGGTGGGGCAGAGGGCAGGTTTCTGAATTGATGGTGATGCTATTCACCAGAAATGAAATACAGGAGGTGGTGTGTGGGTTTTGACACAATGTGTGCTTTTGGACATACAGTATGTGAGGGGTCTTTGAGAACCAAAGGAAAACGTACAATTGGATACACAAATCTGGGGCTGAAACTTGACTGGACTCAAGACGCAGTGTAGAGAATGAGAAGGGGACAACATAAGCTATTGGCATTACAGCATATTGGCATCTGGAATACGTGGCATTCCAGAGCAGTTGGAAGAGGAGCCAGAGAAAAGAAATATAGAAAACCAGGACAGTATGGGGCCCTGGAAGAAACCAAAGGAATAAAAAGAGTTTCACATCAATTGAGATGTTTTTGACTGAAAATAACAGAAGACTCAAACTGGTTTAAATTGTCAAGATTTATTGGCCCATGTAACTGAAAACAAAAGCCTCTGGATCACCCCTAGGCTGGGGGTGAGAAATGCAGCTTACCACCAACATTTAGCAGTTATATTGGGTGCCAGGCAATTTTCTAGTCAATGAACGAAACAGCAAAAAGTCCCTCCTCTGGGGACTGTACATACAAGTGATTCTTGGTATCTTTTATTTTCCTGCATTAAAATGCAAATGTGATGCTTCAAACTGGGGAAACTATCTAAAGGGAAGGAGATGAAGAGAGAAAGCTTTAGAATTTAATGAAAAGTCCAAAACATTTGCTGGTAATTTAACACCTTTTTGTCGGACTGTCAGGAACTTCTGTACTAAGTGATAACAGATGGATAAGACAGGAGAGCAGTTCTGTATGGATACAAAACTCTAAAATCCAAAATACCACCAATGATACATTTTAAAGTCCAGTTGTGGATTTAGTCAGTTTTTCACTGAGTTGTTCATTCAGATACATGTAAGAATAATTACAGCTTTCAAATATCTCCAGTAGGGCTTTGTATTTAACTTGATCATGTGGGAACATGTTTTATATGTAGGTCATGTCCAAACCTGCACTAGTCCATTCATATTTTATTTTAAAAAGTTTGCAATAAAAGAAAACCTCTCAGCCATAATATCCAACTGAGTACTATCAGTTTCTCATATTCCTTATCTTCCCAATGCCTTAGTTCATTCAGACACGTTATCACTCTACTGGACTACTGCCAACGGGTCTTTCTGACTTGACTTGCACCCTATGTATCCATCCTCTCCATGACTAGCAATGAGATTTTGCTAAAATGAAGATGGGTCCTTTGTTCCTAACACAATGCTTTGCGCCAAAAGGTCCTTCATAAATCTGGCATGGAACGGGATACAGATTCTAGCCTGAGCTCTGAAGCTAACGCACAGTGCATCTGTGGGTATACTGCTTCATCTGGTGGGCCTATTTTCCATTGTCCAATATGGAAATGATAAAACCTACTTCATTAGGTTTTTGAAAAATAAAATACTACTCTATGATTGAACTCTGTGAACTCAAAAACACTATAGGGCATTAAGAATTAAGATGAGAAAGTTGAAGTTTGCAAGTAAGTCCAGATACTAGTATTTTAATGGCTAAAAAGCAGTGTTAATTTTCTCAGTAATGTTCTAATTCCAACTAGAATGTTTTCCATAAAACTCTATAAAGATATTTACTCTTTGAATTTTAAAATGTGGCCCACAAATGCTGTTTTCTTAAATTTTATCCTTGTACAAAAGGCTGTGCAATGTGACTTGATTTATCCTATAGATGAGAAAACAATCAGAAATATCAAGCGATTTGATTCTCTACAAAGGAAGCAATTTGGACAGAGGGTTTTCTTTGTCTATATGGATTTTTACAAAATTCTTCACTGGGTTTTCACTAGCTGAACCAAACAGCTCTTTACCTCAGTACCCACATGCACACTTAAACATGTTCCTAAGACATCTTTGAGGGGAAAAGAATTCACTCTCTAATGTGATGACAGACGTGGAAAGTGACATTAAAGTTCACTTTCCAATCAGGGATATTTCTGTGGAAGGTGAAGCAATACTTAAGCAAGTTCATTTCCCCTTCCATTATTAGGCCTTATTTAGAAAAAAAACTCCGAGATTTGGAGCAGCCTGGAGCAGGCTGAGTGAAACTACTCCAAAATATTTAGCCTTCTTCTTTAAACCCTCTCCCCTGCCTCCTAAAACCAGCTTGACCTGTGCTAGCATAGGTATACATCCCTCAGCAACTGTTTAATAATCTCACAAGGGTAGCCAGTACCTGTCCTGTCTAAAATATCAAAACACACACCCCCTTAAAAAAAAATGCAGTATGTTTCCCCTCCATTCTTCTGTTACCTTCTAGAAAGGAGGCTCAAAGCACCATTGGGGACTTAGATGTAATGAACTTTGTTCTGTCTTAAACTAAGTGGTATAAGCTGGGAATTGAACCAATGGATGGTAAAAAGAGGTTCAAGATTTTCAGACAGTGGCTTGCTGGGCTGTGTGTGTGTTATGGTTTGCTTTCATGCAATTTTTTAAAATCTTGTTAATATTTCAGTAACTTCTGAGATATCTGCTTCACCAATATATGCATCCAGACTATAGATTTCTCAATTTCAGAATCACAACCTCATAATTAGAATTCCATTTGTTGGGGCAGGCCGAGTAGCTCAGTTGGTTAAGAGCTTGCTCAAGAATTCCATTTGTTTGGTTTGATGTGACACTGGGGTCATACTTTACCAGTTGATATCACTCCCTAGTATATGATACTATAGCCCTTCAAACTATTCACATATAAAGACTTGTTTTATCAATTACTTCGATTTTGGGAAACATACGTTATTAATAAACCTAGAGGATAAGCAGCTGTAGAATTGGCTTTAGTGTTTGAGTTATACTAGAAGCCATCATACTATTATGTTCCTTCCTCATTCCACAAAACACCACGGCTAGCACACTTTTAATGACTTTTACAAATTTTAATCTACTTGATCACGTTCCCAACTAAACAGATTTTATAGTTTTTCAAATGTTGGCTTCTAGCATGGGGAGAAACAACAGGACTGGGATTTTTTTTTAACTCAAAGACTTTTGAGTCTTTGAAAGAAATTTTTTTTAAAGAACAATGTCTTTTTCTTATACACTAAATGTAGTGTCCTGTAATTAAACCTTATCTCTTAAAGGCATAAGAATCATGCAGATTGATGCACTGTATTTCTTTATATTGTTCTAAATGTTACAAATAATGGCACTGAATTTTGGACTGTAGAAGTCAAATCAAAGATTATCTTCCTGACTACAACATTATTGATTTTTCTTATTATTATATGCAAAGGAGCCTGGGTACAGAAAACACACAGAAGTAGGGTTGTCAGATAAAACACAAGATGCTCAGTTAAATTTGAATTTCAGATAAACAAATTTTTAGTATAAGTATGTCCCAAATATTACATATACTAAAACATTATTTGTTGTTTATCTAACATTCAAACTTAACTGTGTCCTGTATTTTTATTGGTGACATCTAGCAAGTCTTTGTAGAAGATCCCTATCTTCAGGCAAACTTCTATTAAACAGGGAAATTAATGAATTTTCATAATCTAAGGCATATATAAGTGCAGTAATACTATCAGGTGAGGCAAGGAACTCCACTAACTACCACAGAAGAAGGGATGTCTTTTATAGTTCCTGGAAGGGATGTCAATTATAGTTCCTAAATTATGATTGGTGGATAGGTGGTTTAGTGTGTTGATTTTAGAGTTCAAGCATCATGAGTTAAATCCCAGATTCACTGCTCACTAGCTATGTAACCTTGGATAAATTAATCTCTTTATTATAAAGTGAGGCTACTAATACCTACTTTACAAGGCTGTCTGAGGCCCAGATATCACATATGCACAAAGCACCTGGAAAAGAGGAGGCACTCCCTAAATGGCAATACCTACTATTAAAACATCACATGGCAAAGAGGGTGTCACATACAAATATTCAAATGTTAGTGTTATGCAGTAACAGTAATACTGAATAAGTAATTTTATTTCCATGATCTATTTACACTGTACAAACACTGTTGAAAAGCACCCTACAAGTTCACAGGACGTTACCATATATTTACTTTAAAAATATATTCCTTTATAAAAGGTTCATAGAACATTGGCATGTCAACATGTGACAAAACACATGCCACCAATTCTGTGATAGCAAGAATGCTTCCAAGTGTTGTCAATTTCACCATCACAAGTCACCATTTGAGTTTAAATACATATAAGTTTTAAATAAAAAGTGAATTCTACAGTGGAAAGTTCCTGCAGCAATACTTATTAGTTAATTAACATGTACTGTCACGGAGATGCTGTTTCCTAGTAATTTACAGTATCAACTTATCTGCCAAAAAAACCATTTCAATAAGTTTTGCAGTCCAAAAATTCTTGTTATTTGTTGTTTTCTACTTTTTCTTCTTTGTTGGTTCTCCTGGTTCTATTTTGCGTTTTTTAGAAGTATGCTCATCTTTTTCATCATCTTTAAACAGGAAAGGAAGAGTTTCAATCAGTAATTTAAAAAATGTTAAGCATTAAAATTTCATTGACTTTATACCAAATCATTACCCTCAACTAATGTTTCTTTCAGTTTCCCAATAAAAAACAAAAATTAACTTTTAGAACCCTGATTTTAAAGTACAAGTAAAAATAAGGAATTTTTTTCAATTGTATTATTACACAAAATTCAGAAAATGACCCTTTAATGCTATACTGATGTAACTTAAAATGAGAAAATCAGATGTTTTGAAAAAGCTATTTCCAAATATTCTACAGCATATACACTGTATACATTTAAATATAAAATTATCTACACTATGTATGACTAGAACACATTGTTTGTTTTACAAAAAAAGATATCAATTTAACCATAACATTAAGTGGCTATCAGTTGTTCTTTCCCTTCCAAACCTGCTTTCTCTCCCCTGCAAAACACCCTATCTTACCGCCCACCCCCCTATATTTTGCAGTCAAAAAACCACTCACAGGAAGATGTTCAATTGAAACTGTATGTTTAATGTTGTCCTCTGTTGGTAGTTCTACTCTCCCAACCCTCTCCCCCCCATTCCTAAGAGGGTGAGAACATTCCAAAGGCAACAGAAAAGCAGGCCTCTTCCCTCCTTCACAGTCTCAAGAATTTTGAAGAGAGAGGGGGGAGAAGAACCTTACATTAAAACCATGTCCTTTATAACCTTTCCAAATGTTCTTAGTGTCTATAGCCACAGAACATTTCCAATTAATAAAAATGTCAAACCTGAAAAAGTGAACCCTTTTATTCAATTTAAAAAATCCAACTACATGATTCAATAAAACACAGAGTAGCACAAGCCGGCTACTAATTTCCCATCTCTCTGAACAAATGTGTGGCTTAATTTTTAGAATTCCATATAGATGAAATAAATAACATGTAGAAGATGTTATGATTTATAAAATACAAACTTATTTTAAGCACATTAATGAATTCATTGTACTTCTTTATTTTCTCTATCAACAGGTACTCATAGTTCAACAACTATCATGTGGTGGCCTATAAGCTATTTTGATGTTAAAAGGGTCTTTCATATTAAAAAATTTGGGAAGCCACTGATACAGATTATAAACTATATAAGAAATATAATGAAAACCATAAGCCTTCAATTTCCTTCTGCTAGCTGTACCATACTCAGGATATCTCCTTTGTTGATATGGGCAATAATTAGTATCAACAGCAGGTGATTCATCTTCATCTTCAAACACAGCATGGTGATGTTATTCACATATTTCATTAAGCACTGTGGATTTATGTAGACAGTAAGATAAAATACAATTCGGATCAATGAATTATCCCAGGAATTTACAAACCAAAGTTTCAATTGGTAGTTTATCATTATACACAAAACACTGGCTCTACAAAGCAACTTATGTGACATACAGCTCAAACAAACCAGGACCTTTGTTTTTTAACTGAAGTTTAATTATCATCATTCTTGACTTTTGAAGTTATTTTCAGTACTAATATAAAAATTAAAATTACTTTCTAACTCTATTAGAAAACCCACTGTTAACATGTATTAAAAAGATGATCTTAAAACACTTCTGCTTTTAATCTGCCATTTGTTACAAGTAAATTTACTGAATAACAACAAAATTACTAAGGTTGGAAAAGTAACCAGCAGTGATTTGAGCAGAAGAGCTAATGCCATCTAGTGCTATAACAAGGCATTGCCTTAAAAACCAGAGCAGGAAACAAAAAAAAAACAAAACAATACGCCAAACCCTGAAATGTTCATTTAATGTGCCATATACTAAAGATGCACTAGTAATAAAACAAATTTTCTATTATGGAATTCACATCACCTGAGGTAAATAAGTTTAAATTATTAATACAAACTAACTTTCCAAATTAAAAAAAATATTAGCTACTTTAGCTTCCATGAATAATTACATGTTAATAAAGCTATAATTACTATCTAAGCCTTACTGATGTACATTTTACAACCACTAAACAAGAGGTGCTAATATGTAGCAAGACTCAATGATGAGATGAGTTTTGAATCTTTCCCAGTTCCTCTTAAAATATCTGTTAGAAGTTAACTGGCAAAAAAAGGCAAAAGGGCAGAAAATGGGAAGGAAAGGTAAAAACAAAGTAATGTGATAATCTAAAAATTTAGCTAAGAGTTTAGCTGTGGCATTTCTACTACAAGGTATTCTTTGAATTAAGAAAACAGGTAAAAAATAATGTTGGGGAAATTGAAACTGTGAACATGGTATGGGAGTCTGAAATAACAAAAATCACTTCAAAAGGGAAGGTATTTATGGCTATTTATTCAGTAACCAACAGTAAAGTCAAAATTGAAGATTTCAGAATTACCTTTTAATCTTATGATTTAACATTAAACTGGTGGAGTGTTTTTGCGACCTTTTGTTTTTCGATATTACCAACATTCACTTTTTGATGCAGGACCATAATATGATCAAAAGGTCAGAAATTATTTATGGCAATAGCAGTATTGTTTGCCACATATTTGGAATTCCTTCTACCTGAACTCAATAGGCAAGCTGGAAAAAAAGATAATTCTTTCCACTTGTTTGTCCTGGTTATATAATCCTAGACTTTTCCATAGAGGAGCAAAGGAGAGCACCAGCCTGTGGCACCCTAGTTAGAATATCCACCACTCTTAGTGGCCTTAGTGCTGGTCTTCCTACTGCACATTTCTCAAGCACTCTAGCTTGAAAACAGTGACACTAAATCCCAATTTAATAAGGCATCATTTCCACTTAAAGACCAGAATTTGTGAAGGTACCTGTTTTAGAGCTTGCCATTTTTTAATTTTTGTGACCTTGGACAAGTCACACAAGCTCTCATTTACACATTTCCCTATCTGCTCTCACAAGGTATTATAAGCATTAAAGAGTACTTACGCAAAAGTGCTTTTATTAATGAAATAAAATACTATACAATATTAAGTATTTTAAATGCCCCCTTCATTTGGCCTCTTCAAAAAGATGCCATTTACTGAAAGTGTGCCTTCATTTGTGACTTCTAATCCACATTGGGAATCAGTGAAAGAATGGAAAAACCAAGTAGAATCAAAACTGGAGTAAGAATTACTAGTTAGTTACGCTTTTTCTTAAAACAAACAAAACTCTCTGCATGGTTATAACAGGAGCTAAGTAGGTAGCCCTTATATTATGGGAAGAAGGTCAGAATCTGTTTAACAAAAATGGTACATCCTCTCATTACAGCCCAAAATATTTAGTCCAAGTCCATTAACTGTCCACTGAATATTCACAATGTATATTACAAATGGTTAAACAAACATAAATAAGACCTGGACCCTGCTGTTTAAGGAACTCATTTTCATAAAGGAGACGGATTTACAATTAATTAATCACATAAAAGGTGATAAGTGCTACCAACATTAGAACACACTAGGTACAGAGGAATGAAAAATTAATTACAGGGAAGCGATATCTGAGTTTTTTTTCTACTTTGAGTTGGATTTTGAAGGATGAATGAGTTTACCAGCCAAAGGGAGAGGGAAGAACATTTCAGGCTAAGATGCAACATATTTTGAAAGGCATGGAACTATAAAATAGTATGGTCTATTCATTTTTTAATTTTAAGATCATAAAGTACTAGGAAGGGAGCCAAGTGAAATGAGGATGGAGAGAAAGGCAGGGACTATCATAGAAGGCTTTGACTTTATGCTGTTGGTGAAGGGAGTTACATAATCAGGCATGACTTTTAGAAAATGAACATTAGCTGCAGTGTGAAGGATGGAATTGGAACATGTGGAAGTAGAGCTTACTGTGATTATAGTCCAAGTAAGAAGTGAAATCATGATATAAAAAAGGCAAAACAACCACGTCATTATCTTCCTATTACTAGCTTTAATTACTATGTAATAATACGCAGTTAAATTCATTCTGTCACACCAATTTTGACTCTAAAGCACAACTGCTTTAATGTAAAACAAAGCCTTTAGCATTATGCAGCGGCAATCACAAGAAAGACTCCATGAGTTCACTCGTACTGTTCTAATAAGGCACCATAAACCACATATACTTCTGGTTGCGCTATCAGAGATTTCACTTTAAAGCCTGAGTAATTTACGATCTTTCTCTAAAATACAGCAAATACTGCTGGTTGTGATAGCAGAGCTTCAAAGCTGGACTATCTTTCTCAAAAAACACAGCAAAATGTATTCAAAGACCATCATCATCAGCTCGCTAACTCGCTCAAGTTAAATGTCATTCATTAACTGTCTCCACCTTTTTAAACTCCTCACAGGGACCAAAAGGTATTACCGCCAGAGACCGCCTCTCCTTACCTGATTCCACCGTCTCCTCCCCTTCTGGCAGAAGCCTAGCTTTCTTAACGTTCTGCGGGGCATCATCACCATTGTCCTCGTATATGTTTGACCATTTTATTGCCATATCCAGTTCTGGAGGGGGTGGTTTCTTCTCGGGGGTGTAGGTTTCCGGAGGTGGTACATAGTTTGACTTCCATATTTTGAATTCCTTTGGAGGCTGTTAAGCAAACACATTAAGAAGCACTGTGAGGAACCGAGGTTCCTATCATGGGTATGGGGCACATGCACCTCCCTGCCGTTCGCTTATTGTTCAGGCTGACTTTTTTCTTTTTAAAGGTTTAAAGACACATTTCTTTTTTTTTTCCATCAAAATCACAATACTGTTAAGTGAATAGCCAAAGGGTTCCCTATACGAATAAAGCTAATAACTTTTAGTTACCAAAGAAGAATCCAGTCTCAGAGATACTACGCCAAGGCTGACCCCTTCAGGAGGCTGCAGCAGACACTGTCTTGGAGGCAGCACCGCAGGCACTTCGGCGTCAAAGGGAAGGGGTCTCGGGGAGAAGCTGCAGCGGGGGGGGCGGGGGGAGTCACCACCGTTAGTCCTAGCCGCGCAGGGTCGGGGCACCGAGCGCGGAGGTTCAGGTCTCCTCACGAGTGGGCGGGGGCTGCGGGTCCGATCTGACACCCACCAGGCTGGGGGAGGGGGCCCGGGCTCCCCAGGGCTGGAGGTGGGAGGGGGTGGTACGGCATCCCGCAGGGGGTGACTGCGTGTGGGGGAGCGGACAGCCGGTCCCCAGGAGGCGGCTCAGGAGGAACGGGGGCAGAGGCCGGGACCAAGATCAGGAAACGGGGTCGGGGACCTCACCTCCTCAGGCGCCTTGACGACGTGCCTCTCCCAGTCTATCTGTTTGTTGAGCGGATTGTACAGAAAGGCCGGGCGAGTCACGCTCCGAAACAGCTCGTCGGGTCCCGGCAGCCGCTTCTCCATCTTGTTCCCACAGCCGCTCGCCGACTTCCCCGCATCCAGAGCCCTGCGACTCATGTCCTCCGGCTCGCTGTTATCCTCCTCTTCCGAGGAGCCTGAGCTGCTGCTCCCGTATGCCGCGAAATAGCTCAGGGGGTCCTTCTCCTCCGCTGCCATGACGGTTACGCGCGACGATCAAGGGCTCCGCCGGAAGCCGGAAGCTGTTCCAGCTCCCGCCCCGCGGTTGGCCCCGCCCCAAACCTCGCAAATAATCTCGGGGCCAGCGCCCCCTGGGGGTTGCGTCGTGTTACTGCGCCCTGGTTGAAGGACTAGGGCTGTAGGCAAGACAGCGCGCATTCCCCAGCAGAGGTTTCTTTTGCTCATTCCATTTTGAAATGCCCTGAGAAGAGACAGAGCCTGAGTCAGTGGTCCCAACCAAACTTTCAGTGTTCAGTAAGAATTTATTAAAGGCACAGAAGAGCTAAGAAATTTCCCTTTTCACTGCCACCTCACTTTAGCTCTTACCCAGAGAGGCCAGGATTTCGTTCTCATCCTGCCTCACCTCCTCTTAAAAAAAAAAAAAAAAAAGTGTTTCCCTCACTAGTCATGGAAGACCTCTATGGGTGGTGAACTCATCAAGTCACAAACTGAATCCTCTCCTGGTTGACCTCATTTCAGCATGTTCTGAACAACCTCTCTGGGATGAAACTCCTGGATTGCATCCCACTCTCCCGGGTCCTCCACACTCTGGTTTCTCATTGTCAGCCTCCTTCCATGCCTGCTTTGCTCTATATGGCCCTTAAACGCTGGTGTTTCCTAACATGTTACGTTGTCTTTCAGCAATACTAACATTTTGTAGAGGGTGTTACAAAGTTGCAAGTCAGCCCATCCTTTTTCAAGGCACTGACTACGTTATTCTTGTGGCTCCCGAATCTGGGCCTCCAACCTCAACCTTTCACCTCCAAGCTCTGGACCAAGCCTCTTCCTGGCTCTTAAACTTTGCATATGGACTGGGGTCTCAAACACCCCTTTATGGGATGAGTAACTTGTCTTTGCATATAACTTGCTTTTGCATTTGTGTTTCCTCTTACTAAATAACATAACCATGTGCCTAGTCACCAGGTAAACTAAAAATTCTTGACTCCTCTGGGTGAACTAAGAGGGAATGATACCCAAATGAAAATGATAAAGTTGGTATCAGTGTAAACATTCATAGACCCCACTTAAGGAGCCTACTCATCTACACAATACATTCATCTCCAGGGGGCAGAAAACATGTCTATCTTATTCACTCCTTTCCTAGTCCCATAGCACACTGCCTGTGAGCTCCTGGAGGGGAGGAGTTGGATTGTGCTTTGTTTATTCTTATATTCCTAGAACCCAGCTCAGTGCTTGTCACTGAGTAGATGTTCATTAAATATTATAATTTATGAGGCTGTGGTATACATAAGTGTTTCTCAAAAATTTCCATCCAATTACCTATGTTGATAAAAATGATGGTCCCAAAGTGCAAAGTTTGGGAGTTCATCCTCACTTCTGACACCAATGGCAAGTTTGTGGCTCCCCCAAACCAGCCTCAAGTTTGATAATTTGTTAGGACTCACAAAACTCACTGAAAACTGTTTTCCTCATGGCTGTGGTTTAGTATAGCAAACAATACTAATTAAACTCAATAAAGGGAAGAGGTGGTTGGGGCAGAGTCCCACAGACTTTCACATGCAGAGCTTCCTCTTGGCTTCTCCCAGTGGAGTTGCAGACAGTACTAATTTCTTGCAGCAAAGATATGTGACAATATATGAGGTCTCATAACTAAGTTCGCAAACCTGTTGCAATGATGTCGCTAATCTTTTTTGATATCAGAAGGATTATTCATTATGAATTTGTACCAATTGGACAGTTAACCATGTTTACTATTTGGGAGTGCTGAAAAGGCTGTGTGAAAAAGTTAGACAACCAGAACTTTTCACCAACAATTCATGGCTCTTGCATCATGACAATGCACCAGTGCACATGACACTGTCTGTGAAGGAGTTTTTAGCCAGTAAACAAATAACTATATTGGAACACTCTCCCTACTCACCTGGTCTGGCCCCCAATGCCTTCTTTCTTTACCTGAAGATAAAGGAAATATTGAAAGGAAGACATTTTGATGGCATTCAGGACATCAAGGCTAATATAACAGTTCTGATGGCCATTCCAGAAAAAGAGCTCCAAAACTGCTTTGAAGTGTGGACTAGGTGCTAGCAATCGGTGCATAGCTTCCTAAGGGGAGTACTTTTAAGGTGACCGTAGTTATATTCAGGAATGAGGTATGTAGCACTTTTTGTAGGATGAGTTCTTGAACTTAATTGCCAGACCTCTTACATGTAGCATTACCAACCAGGGAGGCTCATCTGAGCCTTGGTGTCCAGAGTTTTCATTGAGGCTTGATCACGTACACATAGTTGATTCCCATGTGGCTGACCTCAGTCTCCAGTCCTTCCAGAGATCAAGCTGATACAGTGTGGCCCAAAGCGCCATGAGCATAAACATTTTTGGGGAATGTAGTATATCTTGAAAATGTATGTAAATGTTATGCTAGTCCCTAATATAGCTTTTATTGTAATATACAAAATATTTTAAATTATTTACATTGAGTAAAACTGACACTCTAAGAAGATAACCACATTTATCCTGTGGCTTTTAAAACTGGCCCACTGTTGAGTGCCTCTGGGGTTGTGGTACTCAATTTGAGTAACATGAGTCCCGGTTATCAAAGTCACCAACATCCTCCATGTAACCAAGTCCAAGGGCCACTTCTTAGTTGACCTTTTAACAAGATAGACCTCCTTCTTGAAGTACTGATTTCCTCTTGCCTTTCACTAGATCACATGCTTTAGTTCTCTTCCTCTTTCACAGGGCCCTTTCGATTTCCTCTGCTGCCTTCTTCTCTGTCTTACCTTTAGATGTGAGAGCTCCTCAGGCTCAGCCCTGGGCCTTCTTCTCTTTTCTATCAACCCTCATTTCAAGGCAATTTTATGAGGTCCCATGGTCTTCAATCAAATTTTTTTTTTTTGGCTAATAACTCCATTTGTATACCCAGTCCAGAAGTCTTCCCTGACCACCAAACTCCTGTATCCAATTTCCAACTCCAGTGTCTAATAAGTCCCTCAAACTTAACATATGTGTGGTAAATTATCTGCCAAGATTATCTACCCTGTGCATGCATACCACTCTATCAAGAGGTGGAGAATATTTCCTCTTAGAATCTGGGCTGGCCTTGAGACTTGCTTTGATGAACAGAATGCTTCCACTTTTGTTCTCTTGGGAGCCCTGAGCCACCGTGTAAAGAGGTCCATCTGCCCTGTTGAAGATCCCATGAAGAGATAAAGAACCCTGGCCAGCTCCCAGCTAGTGCCTTCATGCCAGGGAGGGCACCAGACATGTGAGTGAAGCCATCTGGAATCATCCAACCCCTGTTGAAGTTTCAGAAGTTTCCAGGATGACCCTAGGATGAAGCATTAGAAAAACCATCAAGCTAAATTCAGCACAATTTGCAGAATCATGAATAAATGGTTATCGTAAGCCATTAAATTTTGGGTGTGTGTGTTATGCAATAGATAACTAAAAATATGTCCCAAACAGAATCCTTTATTCCCTACCTTCAATACCCCAAACTTTCCACATTTTTCCCCATCTCCTTAAATTGCACTATTATTAAACAAGTGCTCAGGACAAAAGTCAGAAAGTCTTGTCACTTTAAGTTTAAAATATATTTGAGGGCCGGCCGAGTGGCTCAGTTGGTTAAGAGCTCGCTCAAAAGTTTGAGCTCTGAGCAACAGCGGTTCGAGGCCAGCCCGAGCTGAGCAGCCGCTAAGCTGCCAATAGGTAGCAGGATGGCTCAGCTAAAAATAAAATAAAATAAAATAAAATATATTTGAAATCCAAGTACTTTTTATCAGGTGTACCTCTACCTCTCTCATGCTTTGCCTGAACAATTGCAGTAGTCTTTTTTATTACTAATTTTCCTTAACATTTAATAATCTTTAAATTGGTTCAGCTTCATGCATTGCATTTAGTGGTCACGTCTCTTAGGCTCCTTCAACCTAGGATGATTTCTCAGTCATTAGCTTTCATGACCTTGATATTTGGAAGGTTGTAGACAAGTTATTTTGTAGAAGATGCCTCAATTTGAGTTTGTTCAATGTTTCCTAATGATTAGATTATGAGTCTTTGGCAGGAATATCACAGTAGTGGTGTGATATTTTATTGCATTCCATCAGGGGGCATGGGGTTTCAGTTTGCTCTGGTACTGATAATAACTTTAATTTTTTTGTTTAAGGTGGTACCTGCCAGGCTTCTCTACTATGAAGTTTTTTGCCTCCTTTGTTATTTATTAGTAGTTTGTAGGGAGGTACTTTGAGACTAAGTCAATATCCCATTCATCAAATCATTATTTGTTTATATTAGCATTGACTCATGGTTTCCTATTTTATCCAATGAGTTGTAATACATTATCATCATTAATTTTTTTTAAAGATTTTATTGGGGAATCGGGGAAGGGGAACAGAGAAGTTGCTGTCCTTTTGTCTAGTTGTGGAGGACGTCGCTTCACTCGCCCATGTTGGTATTATCATTGCACTCTTCCCGGGTGAGGCAGTCACTTGCAGGCCTTTGGACGCCGTTCACGAAAGCTCATGCCCACTGCCGGCCAGTCCCACTGCGGCCTACGCCGTCGCCGGTGACTCACAGCAGTCCAGCTCCAGGACTAGCTGTTGTTCACCATTTTAACTGTAGAGGGCCGTGTCACTGGCCCTAATGTGGGATCCGAACTGGGGCTCTGCTACTCAGAGCTGGCACTCCCAAGCCAACACTTAACCAACGTGCCACTCAGCTGGCCCTATCATTAATTAATTTGATGTTGATATTGTCCCGGATTTGGCCTGTGGGAGCCCCTTTAAATTGGCTTCTGCACCCTTCGGAGATGCTGCACCATTCTTTGGATAACTTGCCTGCTTTCTGGCACAAGATATTCCAGGCTTATTTTGTACTTTGCCCTGGCATTAGACAATTTTGCCAAGGAACCTTGATTCCTGTTAATGGAGAAAGGTATTTAAAAGCCAAGATCTAGGTGTTTGGTGTGCTCATTACGAATGAAGTGTTCATGTTGCAGGTTCTCTCAGTGGACAAAATTAGATAATGCATTTATTTCTGTATCTATTGAAAACCTTGAGTTCATAATGATACCTCTAATTTTAATCCAATACTATAGGATTCCTTTTAGTTTTCTTTCCATATTTGTAACTCCATTTTCCATCATTAAGAAATCTAGCTCCCATTATCCTAAATACGTTTTTGCTTGATCAATCCCTAAGTATGCAGCCAACCTTCCATCACTGCTGCTGGCCATTCCCTCAGGTCGATGCCCTGCTTACTGTACTTTGGATCTGACATACGGCATTAGCCTGTCCTTCTAGGGTCCCTCCTCACCCTGTTCCTACCTTCTACTTCAGGCTCTGATATTGAACACCCCTATAGACATCTTCATCAGCTCAGGCTCTGACACTTTTTGAGTGGACACCTGACACTGCTGAGCCATGTCTACACTTTTCTTATTATACTCAGGCTCTGAGAGCCCAACAAGGCCACCCATCTGTACTGATACTCTCATTCCTTTTGAATCCCAAATCTATATCCCTGCCCCCACCTCAAGCAATCCATATCCTGTTCAGACTCCTATGCTCCAATCTGGACCCCTACTACTTCCCCCAAGCCCTGCTGGTCCAGACACTTACTGTGCTTGGCCCCATATAATGGCTTGTGGATTGAACTGTCAAAGGAATGCAGGAAGAGAATGAAATGGAAAGTTAGAGAAGGGAAAGAGGAACAGAGAGTTGAACTTTTAAAACACAAATCAGATCATGTCACTCCCTTGCTTAAAACCCTGCAATTGTTTCCCACCCTAGAAATCAAACTTCTTACAATGGTCTGTAAGCCCTTCCACATCTGATTCTTGCTGTCTGTGAAACTTCATCTCAATCCAGGCTCCAGAGTTCCCCAGTCACCCCTCATATGTATGTTCCAGCCATACAGGCCTATGTAGTCCTCAGTAACTCATTCCTGCCTCAGGGCTTTTGCACTGGGTGTTACTTCTGCCTGAACTTTCCCCTAGAATTTCATGTGACTGGTTCCTTCCTTCTTATGATTTAGGTCTCAGCTCAAAGGGTACATGCTCTAAGAAGACTATCCTCTTAAAGTTATCAATCCATTTTCCTTTTTGTCTCTTACATGCACTATTTTATATCCATGGCAACAAGAATTGTCTGGCTTTCCTTGTTTATTTTCTATCTCCCCCAACTATTAGTCATGACGTATTTTTCTATGTTTTTCAATGCAAAAATTACTTTCATGACTTTCCCGGCGACCCAACAGAATGTGAGTCTATGAGAACATAGACTTTATCATTATATCTCCGGCACTTAGAATAATGGGTACTCAATTATAAATAATGATTGAATTAATGAGTCAAAACATACATAATGTTCACTCTTTTCTTCCTTTTAAGATATGCTAATAAGAGAACATGGAGTTGTGGAAAGAATATTGATCTTGGCGTCAAACAGCCCTGAATTTTAATCCTGAAGAACTGTGTAATTTTGAGTCATTTACTTTATTGAGAGTTTGTTTCTCATCTGTAGGAGAAAAAAACACAAAAGACAATAAAACTTACCTTGCAGGGTTGTTATTAAAAACAAGATCACACAGGGCTGGCCGAGTGGCTCAGTTGGTTAAGAGCTCGCTCAACAGTTTGAGTTCTGAGCAACAGTGGTTTGATGCCTGGCCCCAGCTGAGCTGCCACTGAGCTGCCAACAGGTGGCAGGATGGCTCAGCTTAAAAAAACAAAACAAGATCACACAGGTGGAAAACAAAGCAGTTATTTGGCACCCAGTACAGCTGTGGTTTCCATTTCCAAATATTTTTGCACATTGGAATCGCCTGGGCATCTTTAAACTTCCACACCCAAACATTCTGGTTTAATTGGTATGGGGTATAGCCTGGGGATCAGCATCTTTAAAAGCTCCCCAAGTGGCTCTACCATGGGCAGCAAAGTTCAGGAACCACTGCAATAAAGGACAACTGTCTGATAATTAAATAATGTAGGGAGTAGAGAGTTTAGGAGCAGTAGGGAGTTTAGGAGCAGTACTCAAATTATCTGTGTATTGTTTGTGCTTCAATTCAGCTCTCCTTTCAGAAAGCCCTCCTAAGATTACCTTTAACAACTATGGATTGACTTGCTTCTTGGTTTGCTTTTTTTCAGAGTTAACAGTGTACATGTGTATCCAGTGACAGAAGATAAGGCCAGAGCCTAAAATCCTGTCCCTTTTACACTGCACAGGTAAAAAGACAGTAGCTGTAAGTCTTGACGTCTACCACATACCATACACAAAAATTACTTTGTAATGGATCATAGAGCTAACTGTGAAACTGAAACAACTAAGTTTCCAAAAGAAAACACAGGCTATCATCTTGACATTGGGATAGACAGAGATTTCTTAAACAAGAGACAAAAATCACGAATCATAAAAGAACCATAGTTCTTAATAAAAAACTTTATCAAACTAAACCAAAAAACTCCCAAACAAAACTAAAAAACTCAAAACAAAAAAACTGAGAAAAACAAACTGTCCTTATCCTGGCTTGCCCTCAATTTGTGTTTGATCATGCACTGAGAGTGACATGCAGACCAAAGATGGAATTACCTCTTGAAAAAGAGAGCTTACCGTGAACACATGGAGGAAACTTAAGTGCATATTGCTAAGTTAAGGAAGCCAATATGAGAAGACTGTACACTGTATGATTCCAACTATATGACATTCTGGGGAAAACTATAGAGGCAATAGAAAGATCAGTGGTTGCCAGGATAGGAAGGGGGAGGAAATGGGAAGGGATGAATAAGTGGAACACGAGATTTTAAGGGCAGTGAAACCATTCTGTGTATTTTATAATGGTGAATATTATGCATTTGTCAAAACTTATAGAACTGTACAATACAGAGTGAACCCTAACACAAACTATTAACTTTACTTAATAATAATATATTGAGACCAGTTAATCAATTCTAACAAATGTACCACACTAATGTGAGATCTTAAGATGGGAAACAGGAGAAGAGGGAATATACGGGAACTTTGTACTTTCTCTTCAAGTTTTCTGTAAACCTAAAATTGCTCTAAAAAATGTAGTCTATTCATTTTTCTAAAAAAGCAATAAAAAATGAGCTCAAAGGTGCTATTACATTAAGTGATAATATGGTATCCATGAAAAGTAGCTTCTTCACTGATGTATTAATCAACCTAGTAACCAACTGCACCGTATCATCAATCACTTAAAATTAAACATTTTTAGCAATGGCTGGTTTTCAGTGTTTAAAGGAAATAAACTGATTTTATAAGATTCAGAAAACCCCAAATCCCAAGTTTGTTAAAACCCTTATTTTATTGTCTAGATATTCGACAGTCTGAAAGAAAACTGTTATAAACTATAAATATAAATGCTACAGCATATTTATTATCTTTGATTCTGAACAAGTCCTATTTAAATAAAAAAACTGCATATAAAATTTTATTTTAATTAATGAAATGAAAAGCCTGCTTCTGCTTTTAAGAGGTTTCTTTAAATGTAATGCCACTACTTTCTTATGCTACCCTGAAGGTGAAATGTTTCTCCACAATCCTTAGAAAATGTTTATGCTACAAAACTTCACCCAGTCTTTAAAATATTTTTTAAACCAATATGCCAGTCTTCTTCATGATTGATAAATTTATCAGTCTATCCAGAAATGCAACTTGATCTTACACCTTGAAATGTTTTCTATAAAAATTGGTGCATATAAGTGTTTTCGATATTTACTTCCTATTGAAAAGTCTGGAACTTCCAAAACATAGCACTACAATTTAAAACCTTTTATTGTTAGTAGCGTATTTCCATCTCTGTTTTTTGCAAGTAATTGAAATATATTAGGTGAATATCCCAAAATAAGTACAATTATAATTTAAATGAACACGAGAGCATAATTTATAAATGTGTAAAATCAGTCAAACTTTGTTATATAATGAAAAACAAATCTAGCTAATGATCGACTTGTTCTAAATAGTATTAAAAATAGACTTGTCTCATACACATACACACACACACACACACCATTCTGTTCTAGTTATTTCAACTCATACAGTAGTTCTCATTAAAAAAAGAATGAAAAGTACAGAAAAAGTATTTTTAAAAATCTCATCAACTTACATGTAATAACAGGTTTTTGCCAAGATTTTTCTTGAGGAATGAAAATGATAAAGCAAAGAATGTGAAAATCTTAAGAAAACAGCATTAATTAGGAAGGTTAATAAGAAATGTATTTTGGCAAGTTGAGGTCTTAGGTGGTGTACACTCTGTCAATGTGTCCTTGCTTCAGAAGAGGATTCTGTAAGTGTCTATAAACCAAACGGAGTGGGAAAGAGATTCTTTTTGGTACACTGGTAGTTTTCCCATTAGTGATTGGCTTTATTACTGAATAGAAACAATTTAATCCTGAAAATTTACTGTTGAATGGCTGGAAAGGACTATTAGACTGAAAATTTCTAGCACAAATACACTGAGAAAAAACATTATTCCCAGCCTAAGACTCTATTCTCAAATAGAGAAATGTTCCCTAATAAAATTAGTCTTAAAACATAAAAAATGTGAAAATACTAAACACCTCAAAAATGAAAAAAATAGAAAATACTGAAAAATACATGGTCAACATGATTTACTTTAGCTATCTAAAAGTATACTTTTTTTTAATTCCAAAAGTTTATTTACAAAGTGTGCTACTACTGAATTTTAAAAGACAAGTATCTGATGTTAATAAGTCATTATAGCAATTTTATAAAAAGATTCAAATATTTTTTTGCCATTATGAAAAAAAATTCAAAGGCTGTAAACTGTCATTGCCGCGAACAGCACGACGTGATCGTAAGGGAAGAAACATCTCACTAGAGTTTCCACAAGTTCCTTCTTCTAACTGTAGATCTGGGGGCAAAGGAGGAGCCCCAGGGTCCCCAGGTCGGGGGAGCGTAGTTGAAGAGAAGTTAGGATTTTCAGTTCTGCCTACTTCTAGAACAGGCAAATTCATAGAAGAATCAGTAGAAAAAAAGGGCGCCGTGCTGGATTCTCCTTCTGGATGGTACATGACAGTGGATACTCTCAGTTTTTCAGAGAAATTACTCTCATCTGAATTTGATCTACAGAGGCTGTTTGTGGCTCCATCTGGAAAAGGCTCACAGCTGCTACATTTCAGTCCTACAATAAAATTATTCAGATGTCAATGAAAAAGAAACAAACAAAACTCAGTCCATGCCCATCTTGTAATTTTTTTTAAAGATTACAAGCTAGTGATGACACGAGCAAAATTTAAATAGCAATTTATAAGTTCTGTCCCATTTCCCATTTCATTTGCTTTTCCCTATAACTATGAAGTGTACTATTATTTACATTTTCCAGATAAGGCAATAGTCTCAAGGAAGCTAAATGACATGCTATAGTCTACATTTGTTTACTTTTATACTTAACTATTGAAGGACCTGGAAAAAAATGAAGTAGCTCCTAAAATTTTTCATAAAATATGAAATAGCTTTTAAAACTACTATTCTTTAGCATTGTGTTACAAAAATAAAATTACCCACTAAAAACAAAATTTAAACAGGGCATATGCTAAAATTCTATGAGTTAATTAAGGCCAATTACTGATTCTTGAATCACAGGGTATTACAAGTGGAAGGGATTTCAGAGGTCATTTAGTATAGTTTCTCACTATTAGAGATGAGAAAACAGAGGCCCAGAACAGTGAAGTCATGCCCAGCATTCCAGGACTTCACAGAAAAGTGAGAATTAGATCCCAGGTCTCCTCTTCACATGAAACAGATAATGTCCTGGTTCTCAATCTAACAAATTTACTTAAATGACAGTGGTTGTTCTTCTGATCAAAGAACTTGATCATATCCAAAAAGTACAGCCAACAAGTAGCTTCAGGGTGGAAAAAATACACCCAAACACAATTTATCTTTCTGTTAAGCTTAGCAAATATTCAACTCCTAACTATCCATAGACACAGAACCTCCAGAGTTGACACATTTTATGTAAAACCTGCAACGTCTATAAAGTACATTTATACATCATTTTTTCCCCACTAGTTTTTCAACTTCACAATACATTCAGCATTTCTGTCCCATGTTATAGAAACCATTTTCTTAAAATAGAACTTAGAAAGGGAAACTTCCAATGTGTTCAAACATGAACTTAGAGATTGTGAGTTCCTTAAGGGCAAAGCCCTAAATTTCTCATTTCTGTATCCCCAGCGCCTAGAACAGCTGGAGTAGAGCTATATCACATTCACATTTAACTAAAGTGCTCTGGAGGGAGGGAGGGAGGGAAGGGGGAGGAGG